ATAACAAAAATAGACTCTGGACCTATCTACATAGACGATCCGGTTATCTGTGAATCAAGTTTTATGTCTTCACCTTTAACCTATGCACTTTAATTGATCTCTCACGGGGTGGGGGGACACTCAGCCCCTCGCCCTGAGTGTGATGTAGGCTGTGGGGTTTCAGAGATGTCTTCTATCTGGTTGAGAAAGCATCCTTTTGTTTTGCTCTTTTCTATCACGAATGGATGTGGGGTTTTGTCAAATGTAGTTCCGCCTCAGTGGATAAGAGCATGTGGGGACCAGCAGTTAGCGTAATGGCTATGTCGCTGGACTCCCATGTAGTTGACCACGGTTTGAGTCCCGGACCCGGTGGCTTAAACTCACGCCGGGCCCGTGTGTGTGCGTGCCCAAGATCCTGAGAGGAGAATGGGGGAGAAGGGATTGCGGCGTGACCATCCCCCCTGGGGGGTGATTTCTCGCTTTCTGTCTCTCCGTCTCTCTCTGTCTTTCTGGCAAGCGCATGCGCCCTATAGCAAAAACCTCTCAAAAGAAAAAGTGCATGATCTTCATAGACTACTAATGTGGTGGACCACAACGGATTTCCAACTGAGTGCGGCTTGTATCCCCATGGCAAGCTCTGCTCGCTTGTGGTGCTTTTCTCTTTATGAGAGAGAGAGAGAGAGAGAGGAGAGAGAGAGGAGAAAGAGGAGAGTGAAAGAAAGGGATAGAGACTTTTTTTTTTATCCTAGCTTTTGCTATAGGGTGTGTCTTCTCTCTCTCGGGACAGTGAGAAATCACTTCACGGGGTAGGTACGCTGCAGTCCCTTCCCTTTCCGCTCATCTTGAGATTTTGGACACGCATGACACATGCCTGGCGTGGTTTTTCAAGCCACCTGCTTCGTGACTCCAGCTGCACAGCCGGCCGTGTGAGATCCAGCACCTTAGCCTCCACGCCACCTGCTGGCCTAAGAGACACACTGTTTTTTTTTTTTTTTTTGAGAGATTTTTGATAGGGCACCTACTCTCATTGGAGAGACAGAGAGACAGAAAGTGAGAAATACCTGCTGGGGGTGGGGGGGATGGCCACGCTGCAATCCCTTCTCCATTCTCCTCTCTGGATCCTGGGCACGCACACATGCACCTGGTATGTTTTAAACTGTTGGGCCCGGGACTTGAACTGCGGCTGACTACTGGAAGTCCAGCGACAGAACATCACGCCATCTGGAGGTAAACGTTCTTGGCAGGATCCGGCGGCGGCACGATCCTCTTGGCCCCTTACTCAGGCATGTACAGCCGCGCGGAGCGCGTTCCTGCTTGTCCGGGGACCAAGCCTTGGCCGCCGAGCAGCGGTGCCGCTCGTGTACCGCTGTGCTTGCTGAACGTCCCTCAACTGACCTGCTTGTGTTTTGTTGTGTATTTTGTGTTTCTGTCCATGAGGCATATTGGCCTGCAGCTTTCTTCTCCTGCACTGTTAGGTTTGGGACTCGTTCTCTCTCCTGGAAGAGGCGGGGCAGACTTGGCATTGCTTCATCTGTAAATGCCCGGCACTGAGGGCCAGCAGGGAGCGTAGTGGCTGGGCCGCTGGACACTCACGTGGCCGACCACAGTCCGAGTTCCGGACCTGGCGGCTTGTTTTTTTTTTTTTTTTTTTTTGGAGAATAGGGCGCGTGCGCTCGCCAGAAAGACAGAGAGACAGAGAAACAGAAAGTGAGAAATCACCCCCCAGGGGGGATGGCCACGCCACAATCCCTTCTCCTCCATTCTTCTCTCGGGATCTTGGGCACGCACGCACATGTGCCCGGCTTTCTTTTAAAAGCCACTGGGTCCGGGACGCAAACCGCGGTCGACTACGTGGGAGTCCAGCGACATAGCCATTACGCTAACTGCTGGTTCCCTGGCAGCTTGTTTTCTCACTCCCCCTACCTCCTCTGATGACTATAACTAAGTTAAAAATAAATAAATAAAATAAAAATATTTTAGAACATTGACACTGAAACTATGTGGGATTAGAGATGTCTCTTTCAGTAGGTTTTAACTATAAATCCAGTTTTAATGGTTATAGGACTATTTTTTTTAATTGCCAGAGGGCATGTGTACGCATGTGTATTTGCTGGGGAGGGAGAAAGAGAGAGACAGAACAAGAAACGCCCTCTCCCTGGGGAAGTTCACACTGTGATCCCTCCTCCACCTCTCCCTTTGGGATTTCGGGCGCGTACGGGACACGTTCTTTGGGTCACCAGGTGGGACTTGCATTGTGCAGGGCCGTGAGATCCAGCCTCCTGAACCACCACGCCACTGCTGGTCCAGTTATAGGAGTATTTTGTCTTCTCTCTCTCTTTATTTTTTTTTTGCACATGCATTCACCAGAGCCAGCCAGAGGGAGAAAGCGCCTGCATCAGGACACGTCCACGCCTCTCCTGTTGGAATGCGGGGCGTGCGGTCTGGCGTCTGGCGTATTTCTGAAGCCTCTGGGTCTCGACCTCCAACTGTGCGGGCAGTCGTGTGGGCCCTGTGTCCTACCCACCAGGTCACAGAGCTGGCCCCACTAGTCCATCTTAAAGGAGTTCTGCAAGTTGGCAGGTTTGGAGGAGTCTGTCCACTCGTCTGAGCTGTCTACTTCTTGTGCAGAGCTGTGCAGAGGACTCTTTACTCTTACAGGTCTTCGTGGGTGGTAGTGTCACCCCTTCTTTCTTTCTTTTTTTTTGGGGGGGGGAGATTTTTGCTATAGGACACATGCACTCACTGGAGAGATGGAGAGGCAGAAAGTGAGAAATCACCTCTGGGGGGAATGGCCACACCACAGTCCCTTCTCTGTTCTCCTCTTGGGGCACACACACACACGCGCGTGCCTGGCGTGAGTTTCAAGCTGCCGGGTTCAGGACTTGAACCATCAGCCATGTGGGAGTTTAGCAACATAACCATTACGCCATCTGCTGGGCCTTCCTTCCTTCCTTCCTTCCTTTTTTTCTTTCTTTCTTTCTTTTTAAGAATTATTTTATTTAACTTTATTTATTTATTAAAATTTGACCAGAGAGGGACAGAGCAAGCGAGTGAGAGAGAAAGTGAGAAAGACAGAAAGCAAGCTGCCAGGTCTGGGACTCGAACCATGGCTGGCCATATGGGAGTCCAGCGCTCTTAGCCACCACGCCACCTCCTGCCCCCGCTTCTTTCTTGATATTGCTGAACTGTGTCTTCTTTCTGCTACTCTTTGCTTGTATAACTCGAGATTTAGCAAGGTATTGATGCTTAAGAACTAGCTTTTGGTTTCATTGATTTTTCTGTTTTCAATTTTTTAAAAAAGATTTATTTACTTGTTTTATTTGTTATCATAATTCTTTATTAAAATTTGATCAGAGAGAAAGAGAGAGAGAAAGAAAGGGAAAGTTGGAAAGCAAGTTACCAGGTCTGGGACTTGAACTCAGGCGGCCATGTGGGAGTCCAGAGCCCTTAACCACCACGCACCTGCTGGCCCCCAATTTTTTGTTTTTTATTTTTTTTTTAGTGAGCCAGAGGGTGCATGCACTTGCCAGAAATGGGGGGAGGAGAAGAGAGGGAGAACGCAGTCCTCAGTGGCGTGGCCACGCCACACCCCTTTTCCACTAGCCTACCTGTCAGGACCTTGCGCACGCGTACACACTCACCCGGCGTGTTTCTCCAGCTGCGTCGGCCAGGACCCAGGCTGCGTCAGCCAGGTGGGATCCCTCCCCCTTAACCGGCAGCTACGGGGCTGACCTGCTGTTTCCAGGGTTAGTCATACCTGCTCGTTATCATGGCTTCCTTCCTTCCTGTTTACCTGCACTGTTCCTTCCTTCTGCTTGCTGAGGATTTATTTTTTGGTCTTTTTAAGTTAGATTCCTGGGCCAGCAGGTGGCATGATGGTTAAGGCACTGGACTTAAAAAGAAAAGAAAAGAATGAGTCTATAGCTTATATTTGTTTTTGAAAGTAAAGTAATCCTTGATAAGAATTGCTTTTTTTTTTTTTGAAAGGAGTTCTTTTTTTTCATTTCTTTTTTTTTTTTTTTTGGAGAGTTTTTTGCTATAGGGTCCTTGCACTCACCAGAAAGACAGAGAGAGACAGAGAAACAGAAAGCGAGAAATCACTCCCTAGGGGGGATGGTCACGCCGCAATCCCTTCTCCTCCAATCTCCTCTCGGGATCTTGGGCACACACGCACACACACCCAGCGTGAGTATAAGCCACCGGGTCCGAACGGCGTTCGACTACATGGGAGTCCAGTGACATAGCCATTACGCTAACTGCTGGTCCCAAGTGAGCTGCTTGGACTTTTATAGTTTCAAGACTTTCTTGTTATGAGAGAGGGAGGCAGGGAGGGGAGAGATTTCTTTGTTTTGTTTTTAAATTTTGCTATAGAGTACATACACTCACCAGGGAGAGAGAGAGAGAGAGAGAGAGAAAGTGAAAAAGGACCCCAACTGCGCTGTGCGGGATGGCAATGCTGCATTCCCTTCTCCATTCTCCTCTCAAGATTTCAGGTACACACACGCACACGCACACACACGCACACGCGTGCACACACACACAGCTTTTTTCCCAAGCTGCCAGGTCCAGGACCCAAACCATGCAGTTGACCTTGTGGGATCTAGCTGCCTTAACCACCATGCCGAGACATTGTCCACCCAGAGTCGCCATGGTTTCCTGCTTCAGCAGTGCTCGAAGGGAACCCAGCACTCATCCCCCATCCCAGCCGGCCACCCAGAGCCAGTCCTGTGCCACCAACTCACAGCCACCTCGGACAGCTCCAAGGCGCCTGCAGCTGGCCCAGCCCCGCACTGCCGCTAGCCACCCGCCATGATGACCACGTCCGCCTCGCAGGTGCGCCAGAACCACCACCAGGACTCAGAGGCCGCCATCGCCAGATCGACCTGGAGCTCTCCGCCTCCTACGTGTCCCCATCCATGTCTTTCTACTTTGACCGAGATGACGTGGCTTTGAAGAACTCTGCCAAATACTTTCTCCACCAATCTCCCGAGGAAAGGGAACATGCTGAGAAAATGACGAAGCTGCAGAATCCACGAGGTGGCCGCATCTTCCTTCAGGATGTTAAGAAACCAGACCGTGATGACCGGGAGAACGGGCTGAACGCATGGAGTGTGCATTACCCTTGGGAAAAAACGTGAATCAGTCACTACTGGACCTGCACAAACTGGCCACCGACAGAGAACGACCCCGTGTGTGACTTCATTGAGACGCATTATCTGAACGAGCAGGTGAAGGCCGTCAAAGAATTGGGTGACCCTGGGGAACCAGCAGTTAGCGTAATGGCTATGTCGCTGGACTCCCACGTAGTCGACCGCGGTTCGCGTCCCGGACCCGGTGGCTTAAAACTCACGCCGGGCGCGTGTGCGTGCGTGCCCAAGATCCCGAGAGGAGAATGGAGGAGAAGGGATTGCGGCGTGACCATCCCCCCTGGGGGGTGATTTCTCACTTTCTGTCTCTCTGTCTCTCTCTGTCTGGCGAGTGCACGCGCCCTATAGCAAAAATAAAAAAAATAAAAAAAAAAAGAATTGGGCTACCCTGTCACTAACTTGCGCAAGGTGGGAGCTCTGCAGTCTGGCATGGCGGAATGTCTCTCTGACAAGCTCCCCCTGGGGGACAGTGATAACGAGAGCTAAGCTTGAGGCCACTTCCCCAGGGCCACGGGGTGCCCTCCCTGCTCACCAGGGCAGTGCATGCATGTTGGGGTCTCTTTTACGTTTCCTGTAAGTTGTACCATGACAGCCACTTAAGTTCTTTAATTTGTACCATTCCTTGAAATAAAGAAATTTGGTACCCCCCCAAAAGAAAACCAACCAACCAACCAAGCAAACCACCGTGCCACCGGCCACCCTGAGGTAGGTATTTCTGACAAAGTCTCATGGCACACCCTCCTGCCCACCCTCCCGGGCAGCTACGACCACAGGTGTCCGGTTTGTTTAGGCTGAGCCAGAAACTGGGCCTAGGCCTCCCGTGTGGCCTTGGCTATCGTAGGGTGACACTCTCCCACTTGTGCCACTGTGGCTGGGGTGGGTTCCAGACTTCTAACCCCTCCCGTGACGCTGAGGAAGAGGCCCACGCTCTTGGGCTGCTCGCGGCCTCTGCAGGTGAGAAGCAACACTCCCCCACTCGGAAAGCCCCTGCTGTGGCGGGAGTTAGTGTTTCTTGGGTGCAGTGGATTTCTGCGATGCGAGGCAGACAAGCGTAAGAAAGCCATTGCTGATGTCTTGCTAGCCTCCTGGCTCTGCTCCACATAGCCAAAGGGACTGGATGCGTGCCTCGGTTTCCCCTCTCTTGTTTTTAAGAGATTCATTTTTGCTATCATGCGCTCGCCAGAGACAGAAGGTGAGAAATCACTCCCCGGGCGATGGCCATGCCCGAATCTCTTCTCCATTCTCCTTTTGGGATTTTGGGCACACATGCATGCGTGCTTGGTGTGAGTTTGAAGCCACTGGGGTCCAGGACTCAAACGGTGGCCGACTACATGGGAGTCCTGCATTGTAACCATTATGCCATCTGCTGGTCCCTTAACTTCCGCTCTTAGTTGTGCCTCAGTAAACTGAGGGTCAGCCCGGTGACAGCACACGTGAGTCTCTATGCAAACTGCATGGAACTCTCCCAAGGAGCCAGTTCTCCTCTGTCTGGGTCCGTGGGACCCCGGACACAGTCCCTAGGGTTCCAGGCACTTTTAGCAGGGCTGTCCATTAACCCAAGTGGAGGTCCTGCTGTGCCTCCGGGGAGCCCCTCCACTCCACGCTCTTGTGGGGGCTGAGATGAGGGGGGCCACCCCACCCTGCCAGCTCACCTCTCCCCTGCAGTGCGTAAGACACAGCACTGAGGGGGCGAGCAGGCAGGGTGGTGGTTATAGTGCTGGACTCCTACACGGCTGACCGCAGTTCAAGTCCCAGGCCCAGTGGCTTGAAAATCATGATGGGAGCGTGTGCACGTGTGCCCTAAATTCTGAGAGGAGAATGGAGAAGGGATTGCGGTGTGGCCATTTCCCTGGGTGATGATTTCTCACTTTCCCTCTCTGTGTCCCTGTCTCTCTGCTGAGAGCACATGCCCTATGGCAAAACCTTAAGAAAGAAAAAAAACAAAAACAAGAAGGCCAGTCGAGGCCTGGAGGTTGAGGTGGCTGGATCCCACATGGCCTACGGTACAGCTTGAGTCCCAGACCTGCTGGCTTAAGAAACACAGCGGGCACGTGTGTGCGTGCGTGTGTGCCCAAGATTCCAAGACGGAGAGCGAGAAGGAGCAGGGCTTACAGCACGACCACTCCTCGTGGGGATGCTTTCTCGTTTCCTTCTCTCTCCAGTGACTGTGCACGCCCTCTGGCAAATTACAGAAATAATAAAGCCTGGGATAAATAAATACTTGTTTGGGCCAGCCCTGTGGCCTGCTGGTTAAGGAAGCCAGATCCCTCGTTGCTGAGGTGTAGTCTGAATTCCGGCCCCGGTGCTTGAAAAAGAAGCCAGGCACGTGTATGAGCGTGTGCTCCAAATCCCGACAGGGTGGAGAGACAGAGGGCAGGGTTAGGGCAGGACCATGGCTCACTGAGGGGTGCTCTCTCCCTGGCTCCCTCTCTCTGGCAAGCACATGCACCCTCTGGCAAAAAAGAAAAAAGAGAGAGAGAGAGACAGAACACTGAGAAAGTGAGTAGGGGGCCCCTTTGATCTCAAATCCTTACGTCTCCCGACCCCCGTTACCGGAGCTCAGGTCAGCAAGCATTGTCTGCAGCGGGCCCTGTGGCCAGCACACAGCCTGTCGGAGGTTCTGTGGCTTTCGGGTTTTGTTTCTGCCACCCTCTGACATGTAAAAGCCAGCCCTAGTTCGTGGGTTGTACAAAGATGCCCCAGGGGCTGGGCTTGTCCATGGACTGGTCTGCAGACTCCCAGCCCGTCCCCTGCGTCCCCTGGCTCTCTGGTCACACCTCAGCTTGCTAAGCGGGCCCCCTGTCTCCCAGAAGTCTCCCACTGCGCCCTCAGGCCCTGCCTGTCCTCACTCCGTGACCTCATTCATCTCAGAGCTGACAGCCCACGTGTGTCTCCAGCCCGATTCCTTCCCTGCACGACAGACACGAGAACGTAACTGTCTCCTTGACATGTTACGTGGCTAGCCATCAGGCGTCACCAACGGCCTGCCCTTCCCCAGACCCATTCTGCCGCGTGCTCCCCGCTCAGTGACACAAAGCAGCCCTTCAGTGAGAGACAAAGGCCTCTGCCAGCAAATCCCGTTGGCTCCGCCTAGAGATACCCACAGTCAGAGGGGCCCGCATTGCTCTGCTGACTCCCAGGGCTCCCAGCTCCCTGACCCGGACAATTCTCAGGCCTCCGATACTGCCCCCGCTTCCCGGGGCACCCTGGTCGCCGTCACTCAGCAGGTACGGTTTCAGTGACGGTGACAGCCAGGCTCAGCGCCGGAGCTCCAGGGGGCAGGCGTTTTTGCCCCCTGGCTCCCTGGTTCCTGCAGTACGGGGCGGGAGGCCCTGCGCTGATGGCCACCCAGTGGACACGAGTGAATGAACGCCCACTGTGTGCCGAGCACAAACACTGGTCTCCAGGGATGACCGTGGGAAAGTGAACAAATGACACAAAAATAAGTTCTTCCTAGGAAGAACGGTTGCTTTTCACAAACTCTACCTCCTTTCTCCCTCAGGGTGTTTGCTGAGGGGGGTCTTTGTAGGTACTACAGGCAGGGTAGTCTCTAATCAAAGTCTCTCACAGTCCTGGAGGGTGGAAGTCTAAGACGGCGTGAGCAAGTTACCTGTCTGCGGAGGGCCTGCTTCCTGCTTCAGACAGCCCCGACTGTGCGCCCTCACAGGGCTGAGACCCAGGGAGCTCTCGGAGGCCTCGTTTTTGGTTTTTGTTTTGAGGTTTTTGCCACAGTGCACACGTGCTCACTGGAGAGAGAGAGACAGTAAGATGGAGAGTGAGAAATTGCACCCACGGGAGTGGCCATGCCGCAGTCCCTCCTCCTCCATGTCCCACCTGGGATCTTGGGCACACACGCACACATACCTTGCATGACTTTCAAACCACTGAATCCAGGGCTTGAACAGCGGCCGGCCATGTGGGAGCCCAGCAGCGTAGCCTCTGTACCATCGCTGGGCTCATCTGAGGACTTTTGCAAGGGCACTAATCCCATCCGTGGGGCTCTCTGGCCCCTCTCTGTAATCCATTTCCAAGTAGCACCTGCTTACCCCTGTGCACCAGGCCTGCTGCTTGGTTTCCGTGATCCCAGAAGGACGAAGGTCAAGTTTTGTGGAGCCCGAAACTTATCTAAACCAGGAAACGCTCTAAACATTCATAGTTTGGCCAGCAGGTGGCATGGAGGTTAAGGTGCAGGATCTCACCTGGCTGATTCTGCAGTTAGAGTCCTGGACCCGGCAGCCTGAAAAACTCACCAGGCATGTGTGCGAGTGTGCCCCAAGTCCCCAGAGGAGAAAGGAGGAAAAGGGATTGTGTCATGGCCATACCCCTTTTCCTCTGTTTCTTCCTGGTGAGCACACATGCGCTATGGCAAAAAAATCTAAACAGTAAATAAAAACAAAAATAAAGAGCTCATAGTTATGAATACAAAACTAGGTGAAATAGTGAATATTTCTTTAGAATATAATCACAATTCATGGGGCTGGCAGGTGGCGTGGTGATTAAGGGCACTAACTCCCACTGTGGTTCAAGTCCTGGATCTGGCGGCTTGCTTTCTCACTTTCTCTCTCTTTCTCACTCTCTCTCTCTCTGGTCAAATAAAAATAAATAAATAAATAAATAAATAAATAAATAGATAAATAAAGTTAAGTAAAATAATTCTTTTAAAATAAGAAAATAAAGGGACCAGCAGTTAGCGTAATTGCTATGTTGCTGGACTCTCATGTAGTCGACTGCGGTTTGAGTCCCGGACCCGGATGGCTTAAACTCACGCCGGGCGCCTGTGTGTGCGTGCCCAAGATCCCGAGAGGAGAATGGAGGAGAAGGGATTGCGGCATGGCTATCCCCTCAGGGGGTGACTTCTTGCTTTCTGTCTCTCTGTCTTTCTGGCGAGTGCACACACCCTATAGCAAAAAACCTCACAAAACAAAACAAAAAGAAATGACTCACAATTTATAAATCTAAAAAGGCTGATTAAGGCTAGCTCAGTGGCACAGTGGTTAAGGCTCTGGCTTCCGCATGGCCCGCTGTGCAATTCGAGTGCCTGACACAGCAACTTAAAAAACATATCAGTAGAGGGCGTAGCAGTATGTCGCTGGAGTCCCACATGACCCACCACGGTTAGACCAGACCCGGTGACTTGAAACTCACACCAGGCGTGTGTGTGTGCGTGCCCAAGATCCTGGGAGGAAAATGGAGAAGGGAATGCGGTGTGACCATCCCCCCGGGAGGTGATTTCTCACTTTCCCTCTCACTGTCTCTCTGTCTCTCTTCAGTGAGCACACACACCCTAACACAAATACTTCTCTAAAAGGTAAACAGATTAGGGGCTGGCAGGTGGCGTGGTGGTTAAAGGCCCTGGATTCCCACATGGCTGACCGAGGTCTGAGTTCTGGACTTAGCGGTTTGCTTTCCCACCTTTCCTTTCTCTCTTTCTGTGTCTGTCTGGCCAAACTAAAAAGTAATCATAACAAATGTTATTATTATCAACCAAAACATACCAGGCACATGCGTGTGCATGCCCAGAACCCTAGGAGGAGAGTGGAGAAGAAAGGCTGAAGTGTGGTCACCTCCCCTAGGGGGTGCTTCCTCACTTTCAGTCTCCCTGTCTCTCTCTGGTGAGAATGCACACCCATAGCAAATTTTTAAAAATAGCAATAATTAAAAAATAAAAATAAGGACCAGCAGATGGTGTCATGGTTATGTCGCTGGACTCCCATGTAGTTGACCATAGTTCAAGTCCCGGACCCAGCAGCTTAAAACTCATGCCAGGTACATGTGCATGCATGCCCCCAAATCCTGAGAGAACAGAGAAGGGGTTGTGGGGTGGCTGCCCCTGGGCATGATTTCTTGCTTTCTGTCTGTCTCTTTGGCGTGCGCACATACTTTATAGCAAAAATTGCTCTCTAAAAGAAAACTAAAATAATAATAGTTCAGTTAAAAAAGGCTGATTAGCAAGTGCACGTGCCCTGTAGCAAAACCCTCCACCCCACACCAGCAGGTGGCGTGGTGGTTAAGGCACTGGACACGCCCACTTGGCCAACCATGGTTCAAATCCTGGACCTGGTGGCTTGCTTTCTAACTTTCTCTCTCTCTGATCAAATTAAAGAATGAATAAATAAAGTTAAATTAAAAAATTCTTTAAAAAAAAAACCCTCTCCGCCCAAAAAGGTTGGTTACGATCACGGATGTTGACTACGATCATTTTGGTTTTGTGTCTGTGGTATAAATCCAGAAGAATACCACAATGTTCACATGGACTGCGTGCCCAGCAAGCCCTACCGGGCATTTCCCAGGACTTGGCTGTCCGTGCTCTGGCCACCTCTTCAGGTGACAATTTCACAGCACGTCTAGAGACGGGGAGGTAGGCCAGGGTACCTTCTAGCCAGGCTGGTTGATTTGACTTGCTATTCCTTAGGTCATGTGTACATTTAAAATCTGTTGTATATTTCGGGAAAATACCCTATCAAGATCCTTTCGGGAATAAGCTACAGCGGCTTCTTATGAAGTGACAAATCTTTTTTTTTTTTAAATAACCATTTAATTTTATTTATTATTATTCTAAAATTTGTCAGAGGGCACAGGTGTTAGGGAGGGAGAGCGAGGATGAGAGAGCAAGCCACCAGGTCTGTGATTCAAGCCACGGCCGGCCACGCGGGAGTCCAGCACCTCAGCCACCACACCCCCTGCCAGCCCCATGAGCGACAGTCTTAAGAGATCTCTGAAGGAGTGCCCCAAGCCAGCCTCCCATCCAGTCCTTGCAGGCGCAGGACGGCTGCGTGTCAACCGTCCTCGTGCTGTCTTTAGTATCACCTGCAGGAACGGACGTCTGTCCCCACACACTCCTGCTTCTTTTTATTTTTTTCCTTTTTTTTTTTTGGAGAGATTTTCACTGTAGGGCGCGTGCGCTCGTCAAACAGACAGAGAGAGACATAGAGACAGAAAGCGAGAAATCACCCCCCAGGGGGGATGGTCACGCCGCAATCCCTTCTCCTCCATTCTCCTCTCGGGATCTTGGGCACGCACGCACACGCGCCCGGCGTGAGTTTTAAGCCACCGGGTCTGGGACACGAACCGCGGTCGACTACGTGGGAGTCCAGCGACATAGCCATTATGCTAACTTCTGGTTCCCACACTCCTGTTTCTTCAGCTGAGTCGTCAAGCATGTCCAGAGCCCCCTCATGACATCTGCCACTTACCGCTTCCTCTCATGGGTGGTGTGGCCTTCGTTTCAGACGGTTTCGTGCACTGACAGCTGAACAATGTCTATGCCTATCTGACACTTTTGTTTCACATTTTTTTAAATGAATTATTTTATTGGGACCAGCAGGTCCCCAGGGGGGATGATTTCTCGCTTTCTGTCTCTCTGTCTGCCTCTGTCTTTTTGGCAAGTGCATTGTACTCTACAGCAAACA